AGTTTACACTAATAGCTTTCACATATCAAATGTGAGCTAAAACTTAGTTTTTCTTCCTTCTCTTTTAATCTCCCTCACTTTAGGTTTCCAACAAGCAAGAACACACATACACACACTGATGTATGAGTTAAACACACTCACTTTACTACATATTAAAGCACACATAACTTTCATCCAAGAAATTATACAAGTACTTCCACATAGAAAAACAAAAGTAGGACTTGAATCAAACTCATTCTACACCTACTTCCTCAAGGCATAAAATAAAATTTGCTATTTAATCATAATTCATAACACACATGTTATACATAGCTCATGGTACTAAGACATTCAATTTTCAAAGGATTTCACAAGTGATTCCCACATATCACATACAACTAGAAATTGACCTAAGTCATTTCTACACCCTTTTTCATTCCCATTTTATCTATTTCACATGCATAGGTGAGTGATATATATATATATATATACCTTATTTGGGTTTATCTTATCAAGGATGGGCTTGGTAAATATAGATTTAGTGTAGTAGAGAATATCTTGGAAAAAACTGTGGGGTTTTTCCAAGTCCACTGGAATATAGGTCCAACCTTTTGGGAGGTAGGCCTTTACAAGGTCTTTTGGATCCTTGTATTTAGAATGGGCTAGTTCTATGGCTAGAACATTCTGGGAATGGGTATATATATATACTCTTTAATAACCTACACATTTCACATACAATTATAGGTAAGAAATGAACCAAGATAGGAAAACCCCTACCTCTTTGAAGTGTGGAGATTTCAAAAATACCAAAATAAGCCCCAAGTTCTTGATTTCCCAAAAATTTATCTTTGAATATTTGGTGAAAATTGTTGTTTGTGGTACCCACATGTAGCCCTCGTCGTGTAGATCGACTTTAATTCTTGGCCCGACGAATTTCGACCGACCGAACTCCGAGAATCGACAGAAGAAAACTTGAAAACTCTCTTTCTCTCTTCTCTTCCTCCAACGTCTGAAAGTAGCCACAAATGGGTAGGAAATATTTGATGTTTCAGATATTTCACCATATTTATACTTTTAATTCCGCGGTCCACATCGTCCCGCTCGTTTATCACTTTCGGGTCCGTTTTTCATTCCGAAACAATTCACTTTAATCCAGTTTAAGTCCAAAATTTTATTGGAACTTTAACCCAATTATAAAGAAATTTTAAAAATGTCATTTTTGGGGGACCTTTAAAAGTTCAATTGTCACCCAAATCATCTCGAAATACGTATAAATTCTTATTATCTCGGAATCTGACAAAAATTGACAGGGCAGCTCTATTTCGCGATGCGAATTCAACGGTGAAGTCCGTTGTTCCATCCGAACTCTATAAAATATTCATTTTAAGTCTGCATAATAGTGACAAATTACTATTTTGCCCTTTGTCGGAAAAAGTTCAAATTTTTTCGGGTTTTACAACATTCAATATTAAATTAATCATAGTCTTCTTAGCAAAAATAAAATAAAAAAAATGAGAGAGAGAGAAATGGTAGTGATGTCAAACTTAAATATGAATTTCAGATTTTATAGAAACAAATCTTCCATTAAGTATAAATCAAAATTGATTGTTTAGGAAACTGATTTAAAGTTGAAGATTGTTTTTTAAGTCATTAGAAGGGTATGTTGGAGTTTTAAAAAAATAGTGGACTTAACTACTTATTAGTAAGATTATAAATAAACTTACCCTCAAATAAGTTTATTGGCAGACTAAACTCATTATAAGTAACTTAAGAAGGATTCAGCCCCAATTTTCACTTATAAATATTATAAAGCTGGGTTGGACATCAACTTTAGAGAGTAAGCCCTTTAGTTTGGAGTGCTGAACAAGTAAAACATCACTTGGTCGATACCCCACTTCCATTCCATAGCCTAATCACGGACGTTGTCATTTTTAACCCTATTATACATTGTATTCCAAATATCACAAGGAACAAGAGAGAATTACACCCAGATCCCCTAAAATTTGTCACTTAATCACTTAGACACTTAACATTTAAATTATTACATACAGACCCCCTAAGGTTTGTACGCATGTAATATTTTGACCCCTGCTGTCAAATGTTCGTTAGTAAATTGCACTCAAACTCCCTAAAATTTGTAGGCGTATAATATTTAAGACTCTTAAAGTTTAAAATGTTATAATTAGACAAAATATACTTCAATCAAATATAGAATATCATATATTTTAAGTTCTAAAACCAAAATTCTTGTTTTATCATTTATTGAAATAAAATCAAAAATAAAAAGCTAATTTTTTCTTAAAAAATCGTAATTAGTATATATTATACTATCTATTGTAATAAAACTAAAAATACAAATAAGGGGCCTAAGTAATTCATAGTATAACATGAATTTTACAACCAAAATTCATGTTCTATTATGTCATTTATTGAAATAAAATCAAAAATACAAATTTAATTTTTCTTAAATAAACATAATTAGTATACCATGGAATAAAATTAAAAAATCAAATAAGAGATCAAATTATAATAGACACAATATATTATAACTTTAATTAGGGTAATTTGGTAGTTTAACATGGTCGTTTAAACGATCAAATTAAATTCCAATAGATTATATAATTGTATATTAATAATATTTTTTAAGAAAATTAATTTTATTTCAATAAATGTTATAGTTGAATATAAATTTTGGTTGTAAAATTTAAAATATTTAATATTCAATTTTTGATTGAAGTATTTTTGGTCTAACTATAACATTTTAAACTTAAGATGTCTAAGTATTACACGCCTACAAACTTCAGGGGGTCCAAATATAATTTATTACAGATATACTAATGAATATTGATGGTAGGAGTTTAAGCGTTACATGTGCACAAATCTTAGGTGTTCTGTGTGTAATATTTTAGATGTCAAGAAATCTAAGTAATTAAGTGACAAACCTTTAAAGGTCTGAGTGTAATTCTCCTAAGGTACAATCACAAGAAGCACAAAATTTGGAGACCGTTGTGGAGTAGAATTAAAGAAAATTATATTCAAATTCCTATGGTTTGTGACGTTTGTCATTTAATCATTCAGATCCTCTGACATTTGATATATTACACACAAAATCTCTAAAGTTTGTACGCACGTAACACATAGACCATTGGTGTTAATATATGTTAGTATATCTATTAATAAACTACATTTAGCCTCGTGAAATTTAAAAAAGTATAATACTTAGATTACTTAAGTTTAAAATATTATACTTAGACAAAAAATACTCTAATTAAAGATAGAATATCAAATATTTTAAATTTTACAATCAAAATTCATGTTCTATTATGTTATTTGATGGAAATAAATAAAAAATAAAAATGTCACTTTTTCTTTAAAAAATCATAATTAATATTGTTGATGCTAAAATTTGGACGACCACCACATCAGTTTGTTGAGCTTCAATCACCTAGAAATGAAGTCGGAGACTAAAGGAGAGCTTCGAGGGTCAACTCTCCGATGCCTAAGTCAATAAGTGACTCAAAAATATGAACTGCATTTAAAAGGTAGGAGTGGCACACTTGGAACATCAATGAAAGCTCTATTTATGGGAGTTCTGACAATTTGAATTTGCATAGAGATAATGATTGAAGATCTAGTCAATGATAGTCTGATCTTTATATGCTAATGTTATCCGCGGGGTTAAATTTAGCTTATCCATGATATGTAGAATCTTATTTAAATTAGAACTCTTGACAAGATGAGTTGAATTTGGATTAAATGAACTTTTCACCTTATGTCAATTTTTTCATCATCAAGTATGAATATATAAAATAAGCCTAATCAACACATTTGTATGTTCCATTATATCATCCATTGACATAAAAACCAAACAAAATCTTAACTTTGAGAAAAAAATAATCATTAATATAAATATATTAAAGAATTCAATTTAATACTTATTTGTATACAATTATACTGTTTATTGAAATAAAACTAAAAAATAAACAATAAATCAAACTGTAATGAATAAGGATGGCAGTGAACCGAGTAAAAAAGGGTATTCGTCTAAACTCGCTCCGTTTGAACAGGGTATGAAGCATATGTATTGTACGGTAGATGTATTTGAGGATATCCTTATAAACACGTGCGGAGATGAAAACGGGGATGCACTGACACTTACCCCTACTCTGTATATATATATATATATATATATATATATATATATGTTATTGTAAATTTAAATTTACATATTACTGAATGATTTTTTCTATTGAAAATTGTTTTATTTTTCTCATTTGTTTTCTATTTTTTGGCGTGTAAAAGTGTAGAATTTTGTGTTTTTATATTGGATTATGTTAGGTTACATTATGTTATGTTGCATGATTCTGTGTTGTATTTACATGGAAAACAAGTTTTTAATTATATTATGTTGTAGATGACAAACTTTTAATTATGTTATGATATTCTATAATTATGTTGGATTATTTATAACGTTAGATTTATTTAAAATTTTGGATTACGTTAGCTTGGGTTTGGGCTTGGGCTTGGGCTTGGGCTTGGTCTGGGCGGGGGTGGGGATTACAAATTTACGCGCGGACAAAAATGAGGATGAAAACTATACTCACTAACGGGGATGGAACGAGGATGAATAGAGTTTTTTTAAGCAGGTACAGGGATTGAAACTACAAACCCCCCCCCCCCCTCCGGGCACTTCGGTCTATTACCATCCCTAGTAATTAACACTTTATTTTTTATTTATAATTGAGATAATTTGATTGTTTAATAGATTTTGTTAGTTCTATAACTAACAAAGAGTTTAAGTATAATATTTTAAATTTAAGAGATATAAATGTCACACACCTACAAACTTACGAGAATTTGTATATAATTTATTAATAAATAAACTGACGGAGGGATCCAAGTGTTCGATCCAAGTGTTACGCTTACAAATACCAAGTCCTATAGAATTACTTTACTGCCGCGTGGAATGATCTGGCAATATAAATCTAGCGAGCACATACTCCACATTCACACACTATACCGGCTTGAATTCACAAGACGCCCTCTACTTTTTCTCTCTCCTCTCGCTCGCTCGCTCTCTCTCTCTCTCAAATTTGTTGGCTTTTCAATCTCTGCCGGTATGCAGATCTCTGACCCTCTTCTTAGAAGCATGTACTTGGTTATTCTGTTAGCCTGAAATTTTTTGTTTCAGATATTCACTTATGTATCTGATGAATGTGTTTTCTTGGTCATGTTTGGGGGTCTGTGACCTAGAAATTTATTGTCGGAAACTGTTATTTTTCCCGGTTGTTAATTCATGGTTTTCGGGATATCTGTAAGACCCAATTTGGGTTTTGAGTTATTTCAACACTTTTATGTCTCTTAGAGAGTTAGAGGTAATGTAGGCAAGAGGGTATGTGTATGTATATATGGTTTTTCTTGTAACAAGTAGATTTTAGTGAGGGTTTTGAGAAATCTGCATGACCTGTATGCTTTGATGTTGGGTATTGCATATTAGATAATTTAACAAGAGGCAGGTTAAATTTGCTTGCTGTACAATTTGTTACATATTTTAAGGGATTGTGCGATGGTGCTACAAAAATGTGTTTTTTGATTTAGTTCCAGATTTGGTTGATTATTTGTTATTGGTTTTTTGAAGGTGCCATAGATATGATTTTTCAGCTTGTGATGACTGATGAGTCGGTGGATTTTAGTTGCTTTAATGCTAGATATTGAATATTAGAGGATTCAACAAGCAACAGATAAACTCTGCTTGCTCTAAAGTCATTTACAGATTTGAACCAGTTGAGTGATGATGCTGCTAAAATTGTGATTTTTTATTGTTAAGTGATTTAGTTCAAGTTTTAGTTGATTCTCTCTCTCTAATTGTTGAGGGATAGTGTGTGGAGATGTCTATGTGGGCTTCATGTTTATTCACCTTTGTCCGAATGCAATACTATGAATTTGAATGTGTGTGTTAGAAAAGGAAGATTTTAGGAGAGAGTTCCACTTATTAATCTGAAGTTCAATTGATAAAGTTGGGATAAAGCTGGTAGAACATGTTTAACGCTTATCTGATGAGTAATATAATTTGTGTACAATTTGGATCCATAATTAGTGTTTCACTTTTCCTCTGAGCAGCCCTGGGTTGGACTACTTTTCATGTTTGATGGAACATCGTTGGCTTTTTGTAGTGTGCTTATTTTTTCTACTTTCTTTTTTTTTGCCTGATTTTTCTTGCAATATCAAAATGATAGTACAGAAAGAAGTAGAAGATGGTTAAAGCATACTCACAAGAACACACTTTCAAGCATCCATGGGAGCGAGTAACCTCTGCATCTTGGCGCAAGTTTTCTGACCCTGAGAACAAGCGCACATTGTCCCACATTGTTGAAGTTGACACTTTAAACCGCAGGCTTGATCCTCAATCAGGAAAGCTTTACACGACACGTGCCATCGCCATTCATGCCCCAGGACCATGGTTCCTTCGGAAAATCGTTGGGCAGGATATCTGCCACTGTGTTGAATCAACTGTTGTGGATGCCCAATTTCGGTCCATGCAACTCACCACTCGCAACATCAGTATGCAGAAGTTTGTAGAAGTGGAGGAGAGGATTCGCTATGACCCCCATCCGGATAATACAAACGGGTGGACAATTTGCAGGCAGGAAACTAGCATACGAATAAAGCCTTTGTCAGCACTAGCATCGATGGCAGAGAAGATAGAGCAGAAGTGTGCTGAGAAGTTCCAGCAGAACAGTGTCAAGGGTAGAGAGGTCATGGAGAGGATTTGTAAGTACCTTGAAGCTGAATCCAGAGGAATTTCGCTATGATTTAACTTGTTTAATTTTGACTGTACGCTATACAATTATTTGGGGCTTTAGACTCTGTTACAGAGAAATTACCATAAGAATCTAAGTGAACCCCTCCATTGAATTTGGTTTCGCGCAGTGCCTCTGTATAGGGCTGTTAAGTTCTTTGATGAAAGAAATCAGCTGAGGAATGTAATGGACTGAAACTAGGGAGGTTGACTTGGTTTCCTCCTAAACAATGTGGAATTTTGATGTAGTTTAACTTCTATTTCGAGGAAATTTGTTTTTCGCATTTTTTAATTTGGTTCTGGAAAGTATGCAGTCCTTTGGAATGGATGATTTTCTATTTGATTTTGGCTTGTCTAATACAACTATACAAGGCCTTTGGTAGAGTACAGTAATGAAACAAGATTTATGTAATTGATCACAAATTGTTGGTATATTAAGTTTTATTAAGTTGAGTTGAGATGAGATGTGGGAAATGTTTTTGTGCAACCTTCAATGTCTTCATTTGGATCTCGTGTTATAATCCATTAATACTTGCTTTGTTTAAACCTCATGATATTGCAAGGTTAGTGACTTGGAGTTTTACATAGAATGTAGCTCTGCACGGAATATGCAGGTTTGCTGTTATTTTATATCCTCAGATGAGTTTTGCAGTTTTTGTTCTGGGGCATCGGTCAGTCTCAGAGTGTGAACTCCTGAAATGTCTTGGTTGCACTATTATTATCATTGCTAATTCTTTTTAGTCCACAACATAAGCCTTGGCTGATGTTTCCTGTGCTATGCCTATATGTAGATGACAGAAGTGGATCAAGTTGAAACTGGGAAGCATTCTCATTGTATGAACTTATTTACTGGAGTACAGTCATTTTTAAACAAACATCAAAATAAGGCACTTTTGAACTTATTTACTAAATTACGGTATTTTTTAAAAACGGAATCAAAAGTCCTGGTTTTTTTAAATAATGGAGTCAACAATTCTGTTTTTATATATATAAAAAAAAGTGGGGAGTGGGAAGGGAATAGATGAAAAATATGTTTACTAAACATGCTTTTTATACTTTTTCTGAAAAGCGCTTTTCACACAAAAACGCAGATAGTGAAGTAGTTTCACATTTCCAGCAGAAGATTTACACTGGAGTATCCTATTGTTTCTTAAGATACTTGATAATTCCAATTTCCACATATATATTCAAAGAGGTAATGCTTGTGCCCCATAGTTCAATGAGAATATGTAACAGGGAGCCAAATAAGTAGAATCAATTGCTTTCAATGGGTAGTGATTAACCATTTTGTTTTGTAATTCAACTCTGCATTTGTTCTGTTCTTTAAGCTTGTACTACTTTCTTGACCCATTTTTGCACAAATACCTTTTCTAGTAGCAGGAGAGTGGAAATTTGTGATATCCAAATCAATTTCCTTTGGATATCAATTGTTTTGATATGAAATCTTTCAATCAAACAACTGGACTTCGTTTTAACCCAGATGCAAACACAGGGTGATTCTGTATTTTCTGGGATCCTACAAATCTTTGTTCATCATGCAAGGAATATTCACAACATATGCATCTACGACAATCAAGATGTTTATGCAAAAAATTTTCTTATCTACAACCCTGATGAGACCCTCTCAACCAGGATCATCAATGGTGGTGGCAAAAACACAGAAGTCATTGAGAATTTGATTATGACGGTTTCCCAATCTGATGCTGTTCTTAAATGTGAGATTGGAATGCTGAGCAGGGCTAAGAATTTCTTGGAGGATCAGCTTTTGGGAGTTGCTTTGGTCCCAATTTCTCCAGATGTTGGGAAAGGAAAGATGATCCAAGATTTTTTGATAAGGCGATAGACAAGACCATTGCATCCAAAGTAAATGAACCAAATGTCGAGTCTACAGAGAGTCTCAAGATAAGAATATGCCAAAAGGGGAAAAGGAATCACCATTCACAACTTCTTTACCTTTTTCCCAAATAGTCAAAAAGCCACAGGCACTGAATAACCATGTGGAAATTTTTTATCTCTTTAAGTAAGTGAAGATCAATATTCCCTTATTGGATGCCTCAAACAAGTCTCCTCATTTCTCACGGAACAAGCCAATGCTATCATTCAACACAGGACTCCTCCTAAATACAAAGATCGAAGATGTCCTACCATTGCATGCATTATTGGAAATTACAAGATTGAGCAAACATTGCTTGATCTTGGGGCAAGTGTCAATTTCCTCCCATACTGTAACGCCCCTAAAACTAGGGGCTCTTTGTCAACTCGTTTATCACCCATCAACCCGCAAAAGTATCCGTGAATACAACATAACCTGACATCACGTCATAACATCCTCTTCACCAGGATCGTAACTAATCCAAAGTTTGGGCAGAGTCTCCCTTATGCTGGGCACTCCCAAACGCATAATCCTGTATACATTTCAATCACTTGACTATTTCAAGGTCCAATATACATAAATTTGTCCTTAATATTACTCCATTTACATCCTTTGAACAAATTGGCTCAAGGCCCGGAGGCTTGGCAAAGTTATTTTAAATTTTTGGAGGAGCTACCGGTAACTCATGTACGTACTACCAGTAGTTAAGCCCTCCGTCAACAAGCTACCAAAGAAAATTGTTGGAGGAGTGATGAGTATACAATATTGAATAACATGTATCTCTTTTGCACCCTTATTGTTTGTTTTTGTGGTAAAAATTGGGGGAAAGGCTTCTAAACTCACATTTAATGGAGATTTGTATGATTGTAGGTAAAGAGTAGGTAAGGGCGGGTATTAAGCCTCCCATTAGTGCCTAAAGGCAATGGAAAAGAAGAGGAGGCTTAACGGATGGCTCAGGACATCAAGAGACCAAGAAAATTCCAAAACAAGATAAAACCTACTGGTAGAAGTAGCCAAAACCTACTGATAGAAGTCTACAAATACCTACCGATAGAAGTTCCAACACCCACCAGTAGGAAAAGTGCACTGAAATTCTTCTATAGTAGCCCTTGCCACAAAACCTACCAGTAGAAAATGCTTACTGGAAAAAACCTACTGGTAGGTTTTTGATGTTCTACCGATAGGTTTTGCCCAGAAATGCCAGAAACTTGCTCACACGACTTTACCTACTTCGGAGGCCCACCTCTTGTTATCCCAACCATATCCTGACATCTTTGACACACCATGATGGTCTCTTACACCCTAAAATCAGATTTTGGAAGAGAAAAGCATGGGAGAGGCAAGAGAGAGAAGAGGGGGTGATTGGTGAAGCATAGGAGGTGCATGCTTGGCTTGTCCTTGTTTGTTGAAGTGTCCAATCTCTTCCCACTCATTGCAACCTAGCTCTCACAAACCAAAAGGAGGAGTATGGATGTTTTTGGCCCAAGTCTTATGCCATTATTTAGTTACACAGAAACTTTTTGGCACGCCCCGAATTTCCACAAACTCGAGGAGTGAGTGAAAAGAAAGAAGAAAAGTAAATGAAAGGTTATTAGGTTGGATAAATTGATTTTTCATTCATTTCCCACGTTTTCTCATTTTTTTTCCCAAAGTTTTTCAAGCCGCTTTCCTTCCATTTTTAGCCTATTTCTTCAAGGTTTCTAAACCCCCCCTTTTAACATCCTTCCCACCTATTTAAAAGGTGTTTTACACACTTAACAAGTCTTTTAATTTCATAAAATTTCGACACAACCTCTTTTGCTTTTCAAGCCTTTCTTCCACCTAATATTCACAATACTTCATATGTATAAGTATATCATAACCCACCCTCACTCAGTAGCCACAATCCATGTAAATTAAACATACACTCATTGTTTTCAACATACACATCTACTTGTCTCAATATACACATATGATACTCATTGAATAAAGATGTTCCACATATCAATTGAGTTTACAATCTTACACTTTAAAATTGTTCAAGGCCTACAATCCACTACTTTTTCAAACTGAAATACAAGTCACTTGGGCGTATGCCTATAAATACAAAATATGTCCCAAGGGCCAAATATCCATTCGAATCCCTTCCTCTTATTCCTTTAGGACTTCCTCAAGTCTCAAGTACCAGGAGTCTCATTTGTAATATGATATCCCATGAATAGGTCAACTCAACTGCTGGTATGACAAAATGCTAATGTTAGGAACAAATTTAAGGCGTGGCATGTGCAAATGTACATTTTAAAATTACAATCCAGTAATCCCTCAATGTTATGCAATGTCAATATGCATAACACACACATGCAACTCTATGCCACCCATGTCTCACTTAACGGTCCGCCCCTGTCAGCCCACGAGTAGTGTCATTGGCCAGATTTTAGATTTTTCACCACAGGATCTATACCGTTATAATGCATAGCACCAAGTGCTCAATCCACACCATGTTTTCTAGGATTTATGTATGCCAATATGCCTTGATTTTTCTCAATGTGAATTCAATGAAACATTTCATCAAACACGGGGTGTATAACTTAAAATATACCTCATTCATAAAGTGAAGCATAACTTCAAATTCACAACACTTTATCTATATGAATGTGAAGCACCATTCAATGGATTAAACATATGATCAAGTTTCATGTTCATTACTTTCACATTTTTTCAAGGAAAATACAAATACACTAACTACCAACTTATGGGATAATCATAACTCTCAAAACACAAAAGTTTATTTACATGAACATAAGCTAGGTATCCAGAGTTGTTAGAGGTACATTTCTGAATATTTTGGGACGAAATTTGTTTAAGGGGGGAAGATGTAGAGATCTGAAAAGTGATAATAAATTTTTCAATTTTGTTGGTAGGGCACTATTCATACACCATTTTCCAGTAGGGTATTACATATGCATCATTTAGGTGTAGGTAATATTTATGAGCATACTTTGAGTATGACATAGACAATAAAGATGCTTAGAATGTTAAAAATACACCTACTATGTGAATTTGAACATAAACAAAAATAGTTTCAAAAATTGGACAAAAAAGGCATCGCAAGTGGCCGAGGTGGGATCGGCCAAACTCGGTCACAAGCAAAAATCAATTTTGTTTTAAAATTTTTATTTTAAATAATTTTAAGAAATTTGGTTAAAATAAAATGACGAATTGAGGCGTTTTGGGACGAGTTGTAGTGTAAATGGGTTTCAGATTTATCAAGGGCAAAAGGGTCATTTTACACCTTTACCCCTCCACTATAAATACAACCCTCTTAGTGTAAAAATATTAGTTTTTGGTCTGGGAAGGAGCAGCACAAGTTCATGGAGGGAAAGTGAAGAAAAATCATAGGTTCTCCAAACTTCAAGCCACCAAAACTCATTCCTAGGCCAAGATCTTGCAAGACTTCCTTCTAGGAAGTTTTTCCTCTCAACAAGGTCTATATTCTGTAAACCCCCACACTCTTATTTTTATATAGCAAGTAATTATTTTTAAAATGCTAATATAGGTGATGAGGTATGCATGAATCCTATAAATTGTAATAGTAGGAATAAATACTAGGGAGGCAAATTGATTATGAAATTTAATTTTTGGAGGTGTTTAAGGTTGATAAGGGTAACTAATTAAAAATATTAATTTTTTTAGGTTAAAATAATATTTTCATTGAATCTGGGAGATCCGAAAAATTTGGAATAGCCGTTTGGCACATATAACGGTTCGAAGGAATAAAATAGTAATTTTAGTATTTCGAGTGTAAATTTACTTTAGTTTTGAGATAAATCATAAAACTAAATATTTTTAGGTTAAAATAACATTAAAAATGAATCCGGAACGTCGAAAAACCTTAGGGTATTCATATGGATCAAATTGGAGATTTTTAGTGGCAAAATCGTAATTTTGGAGAAAACCCAAAAAATCAGCCTATGAACATTGACTTTCGGGGACTGTTGTGTTTAAAACACATATAGCCCCTTTTCTTCCATTTTTTCTCACATCTCTCACTCCAAACCTCTTAGAACCCTAGGAGAAGAAAAAGAGAAAAGGAAAAAGAAAGAAGAAAGACTCTAAAGCTTGGGTTTTGCTTGGAATTCTTGATTCAAGGTAGAGATTTCTTCTCATTCTCCTACATTGAGGCTAGGGCTTATGTATATATGTACTATTTTGACTCTAAATTCAATATGTATGTTATAAAATCTTTAATTCTTGCTATTCTTGCAATAAATGTCATGTTTTAAACAATGTGATGGTTGGGTAACCATTAAAGCTCTCTTTTTCATCTTCAAAACTTAAATTTTAAGAAAAATGGATTTTTCTCCCCATATTTCCTTTGTTCTTGATTTTCAAACTTTAGGCTTTCCATTAAACAGTAAAATGGTATTGATGTTGATCTCTTGTCTATTTTTTTTACATGGTTCTATTGGATAACATACGAGAAATTTTGGGGATTTTGAGAATTATGAACTTTTGTTGAGAAATTATTGGTGATTGTATTTCATGGAGGTGTTTGATGACCATGGGTGGCCATTGACTGAGTATAGTAGAGTGGGTAGATGTGTGTGGTTCTTACTCCGTGCGGGATTGAAATTTTCCTACCACTCGTAGTGGGGTTGGTGCTTTGTGAGGACCAAACCACTATTAGCTCACAGGTGCCGTGTCAGAGGATTAGTATACTATGTCTGGGTTGGATTCGTTATTGTCGGTGCATTGGTATGGGACAATGCATCGGTAGGCGCCCTTCCCGAAGTTTAATATCTTTGTGAGGATTTGTGTGTGTGTGGGTCAGGATATTTTCTATGTGTTTATTCATGCGATTATCTTACATCAGACTTGAGATACATTGTGGTTATTGTTTATTACTTTATCTTTTGGATATGATTATCTTGAAAATTATTGTGGGAATGATTATTCTTTGGAATGGTTATTTATGGTGGGATTGACTTTAC